AATGTAGGTCACATAAATATCCATGATAAGGGAACTAGAGTGACTATATTAATATAATACAAAATAGGGTTTCACATAAGAAATAAAGAGAAATATTTATATAAAGATTTAAGTTAGTCCAATTCATTTAAAAATGTTAAACGTATATTCACCTCAAACAGAATAAGTGTGTGAAGGAAAAACTGACATGACTGAAATAAGAATAAACAACTACACTTGGAAAGTTCAAAATTACCCTCTGAGTAATTCTGTAAAATAAGTAAAATAAATAAGTAAAGTAAATTGTAATTTTGTAAAATAAATAAAGTAAATAAGTAAAGTAAAATTGTAAAATAAGTAAAGAGAAAATTAAGGATATAGAAGACCCCAAACAACTTTCATTAACCAACTTAACATACTTAATAAATTTATAAAATACTTAACTCCAAAATAGGGAGGTTCATTCTTTCTGTTCAGCAGGCCATAAAACTAGTATACAAAGCAGATTCCAATAAATTCAAAAGAAATGAAATCATACAAAGTATATTCTCTGATCAGAGCATAATTAAAATATGATTAGAAATTGCACAATTAGAAATAAAACATAATTTGTGATTATTTTAACAAACAAAAAGCAGAGATAATAAAAATAAATGTAAGAAACAAAATATATATACATAGTGAATATCATAATTCCAATTTATGAAATCAAAAGGGAAATTAGAAAATATCTTCAGCTGAATTAAATGAAAATAAAACCAGAATATATCAACATTTATGCCACAGCACTACTCTAGGGAACAGTGACTCTTAGCATATCATTTTAAGATAGAATAATTCTAGTCTCAGTGGAAGCCTCAAAATGTGTCTTAAGAAACATCCCGGAGGGGTTGCAGTCCTGACTTTGCCCTGGAATGCTTTTCCAAAGACAAAGAACAGCCAGGCCTAGATAACCACCTATGACCCTGCCTGGGTTGTTTCATCCCTTCCCTGGCCCTAGATAAACACTGTAACCATAAAGGAAGTGTACGGTTATCTAAAGGGGGACATACAGAACAGAGTACTGGAAGTATAAATCATTGTGGTTGGGCTCATGACCAGAGCCTGACCCAGTTACGTGGCACAGGAAAACAATGTGTGGCCAGAGGTACAACATTCCAATCTGTTACCGTGGAAACCAAAAATATATATAAGGTGGAAAAAAAGAAGGCCAGCTGCCCATGTTCCTGCAAGTCAGGGATGAGTGGTGACCGGTCTAAATTTATTTAATAAACTCTGTTTGTTCTAAATAGAGTCCTTCAGTCTCTGTGGAATACAGCCTGATTTTTGCCATTATACTACCAAAAGAAAATGGCTTTAAATGCTTATTTTATAAAGTATTAAATGGTTAAAATTATTAACCAAAGCTACTACCTTTAGAATATAGGAAAAGAAGATGTAAAATAAAATATTAAGAAAGAAATAAAGAGCACAGCAAAAAATAAATGAAATAGGAAACAAATCTCACTAGACAAAATCAATGAAACCAACACTTGACTTTTTGGAGGAATCCAAGAAAAGTAATAACCTTTAGCTAGTCAAACTAAGAAAAAAGTGAGAGAAGACACAAATGACCGAAAAGAATAGACCCTGCAGAAATGAAAAGGAGAATAAGAGACTATTATGAAAAAATTGAAGGCAACAAATTTAGTAACTTAGTTGAAATGAATATATTCTTAGAAAGACAAGGGGCTGGGGGTTTAGCTCAGTGGCACAGTGCCTGCCTGGCAAGCATGAGGTCGTGAGTTAGATTCCTGGTACCAGAAAAAAAACCAAAACAAAGAAACAAAAAAAAAAAATTCTTAGAAAGACATATTGGGCTGGGGATATAGCTCAGCGGCACAACACCTGCCTGGCAAGTACAAGGTCCTGAGTTTGATTTCCATTACAAAAAAAAAAAAAAAAAAAAAGACACATATTACCAAAAATGATTCAACAAGAAATGAAAACTAAATAGGCCCATGCCAAGCAAAGTGATTAGTAATTTAAAATCCCCCACCAAGTGAAGTCCAGACAAAGAAAGCTTCACTGGTCAATCTGTCAATGATTTATGGCATGGACAGTATCAATCTTATAAAAATCTTCAGAGTGCAGATGAGGAGAGAAACCTTTTCAACTCAGTTTTATCATAATAAAAGGCACACAAAGACAGTATTTTAAAAGCTACAGATTGGGGGCCGGGGATATAGCTCAGGGGCGCAAGTGCCTGCCTGGCAAGCACAAGGTTGTGAGTTCAATTCCCAGTACCAATAAATAAATAAATAAAAGCTACAGATAAATATTCCTAATGAATGTAGTCTAATGAAATGATGCTGATTCTGCTTCTGACCCTACTGCTCCTCAGATGATGCTGTGACCAGCACTGTGGTAGAGGCGAATTAGTTACAGAAGGTGAAGTGACACAGGCAGAAGTACAGATGTACTTCCAAAGAAATCATTACAAGTCTGACGTATCTAGAAAGACCCTTAGGAAAGCTGATGAAGCCCCTGAAAGTTTTTGTCCAAGTCAGTCTCTACATGAGAAGAAAATATCAGAGTACAGTCTTCAATATTAGTAGACTTACTCTTGGAACTGTGACCAAATTGCTTCATCAGCTACCAAAAAGGCTCTTCATTGGTAAGAATCAGTGATTCAATTCAGTACTCTTTAAAATGAAATACCAACCAAACTGTTTCCCATTGTTTACTATAAAATTTCAGTCTGTGCTTTAGGTATCGCACTTTTTTTTTCTGGTTATGATGTTCAGTAACAAGAGATTTCTGTACTCCTTCATTGACAGATGAAAGAAAGTGAGTTCCTTGGGGTTGCAAAGCAGAAGCCAGAAGCACCCAGCATATTTAGGAGATATATGTGAACTATTATACTACAATTCACCCACTTAACGTGTCTAACTCAGTGGCCTTTAATATATCCACAGAGAAGTACATCTTTTACTACAACCAACTTTAGAACTTTTCTACGACTTCCAAAGGAAACCCCAGACCACTTAGCCACCACCGTCCCCCATTTGCAGTCACCCTCCAACCTCTCTGTCCTGCAGAACTACCAATGTACAGATAGGGTCTTACTGTCTTTATTCATATAGAGATGACATTCAAAATATTTAACAATAGATAAGCACCTGCTCCAAGGTACCAACCATAAACAATTGATAAGGCTGAGTGCCGGAGAACCTGTAGCTCTGCCGTTACCCTCTGGCTTCATAAATGCCTATCATATACTGATAATGCACAAATACAGTATTTTACATGTCCTCTCTTACAAGAACAAAGGTTGCCAAGACATGTGTTATACATGCACGTGTCTGCACACACATGCGTGTGCACATACTCACCTAGTCCAGATCCCAGCCAGACTAAATAGCTTTTGCCTTCTCAAATGCCCTTTCCCATCTTGACATTTTCTATTTTTTCAGTGTATTTCCATTTTTAATCAAAGAAATATGTGTACATATTTAAAATAAATCTTTGGCCCATTCTCTGTCACCAACCTTGCTCTCAAAAAGTAATTCTTAACAATTCTGGGTATTTGTTCTGATGGTTAATGGTACCAGATATAGAAATGTCCAAATAACCATCATCCTCTTTTGCAATGGGGAGGGGTACTGGGGATTGAAATCAGGCCTCTGCACTCAGCTACAGACCAACTCCTTTCAAATTTAAAATTTATTTTTGAGGTAAGGTCTCATACTAAGTAGC